TCAAGTGTCAGAGGCCTCAGCATGGCTCAGATGCCTTTATTGGGGACTGATGATAGATTCCTAGCAACGAAGTGTATTGGGAAGTTTTTGAGAATTCTTACATGGAGGGGAATTTTTGCTTTGCCCATTAGTACAACTTATTTTTATTTTATGAATAATGCTTTTGGTATCATTTATAATAACTCATTGCCATTGGTCATGAAAATTTTGCCCATTTGGATCATAAGAAACCACTCTCATGGCTTTTGCTTAGGCAAAGATGTAACTGGTTGAAGGAACGTTCAATGCCACATACTGTCTGCTTTGGGTTCTCTTAGAAGGGGACCTGAGGCATAGTTTCCACTGTGAGGCGGTTGGAAGGAGGTGCAGGGACTCCTGGGGGCAGAGTGGGACTGGGAAGCAGGCAAGGAAGGCCGGCTGTCAGCACAGCTCATGTGTGGTGGGTGAGCAGAGCCTAACTGCACTGTGCAAGCTCTAGCAAACGGTGCTTCCCAAGGCCTGGGCCCCCAAGCTCACCTCTGGGTTTGGTGATTTCCCAGGAGGGCTCGCACAGCCATGATTTATGACAGCGGAAGATACAGAGCAAAATCAGCAAAGGGAAAAGCCACACGAGGCAAAGTCTAAAGGAAACCAGGCACATGCTTCCAAGAATCTTCTCTTTGGGGTCACGCAGGACACCCTTTATTCCTCCCAGAGTAAGTCGAAATGTGACTATCAGAGAAACTAGTTAGAGACTGAGCATCCCGGGTTTTTATTGGCCACATAGGCACTGTCTGCCTCGCATATAACTCAATTTTAGACTCCTAGAAGGAAAGCAGGCACTCCACTCAAGTCACGTTTTTTGGACAGTTTAGGCATGGTGTGCTATTCTTAGGGCTCTGAGCATGGTAGGGACCCTCCCCAAACCTAAGTTCCTGGATCCTGGCCGGGATCTGACCTTGTAAGCAGTCGTTTCTAAGGAGGGCAGCTTCTGGCCTGCTGCGTAAGGTCTGCACAGATACAAAGCACAGACCTGTCCGTGATCCCATTCGAAGGCAAGGTGGGCATAATCTTACAGCAGTTCTCACAGCCGTTGGTTAATGCCTGGACCGAATGGCACATGTCAAGTGTATCACATGAGCTGAGCCACCCTCTGTGGAGCCCAAAACAAGGATGTCAGGTACAGAGACACTGTTGCAAAAGCAGCAGAGTGATAGGAGTGGGGCATTGGCAGCATCAGACAGTCCCTATTCTAGAAATTGGGTAGGAGCAACAGACAAAGCCATGTGTTCAGGGCTGTTCACGTGCATGTGGTCCTGTGGCAGTGTTACAACTGTGGGTGGAAAGTTCGAGGTTAAGGCTTCCCTCTAACTTCCTTGGGATGTAGCACGATTATCTGCTCTGGGGCATTGCTGGGCCTGGAGGTACAATGAGACCATAGGTACAGGCCTTTTTTGCTGGGAGATTGGAAAGTTTGTGTGTGTGGTGTGTGTGTGTGTGTGTGTGTGCGTGTGTGTGTGTGAAGGTCCTGTGTGCTGCTGTAGCTCAGTGGTAGAGTGCTTGCCTAGCACGCACATGCCCTGAGTTCAATCCCCAGTACCAAACACACACACACACACACACACACACACACACAGAGAAAACCCTCAAAAATAAAAAAAAAAACCTAAATTTTATTTTGAGAGAAAGTCTCTCAAGCCCAGTCATCAAGTTGTCTAGACTAGGCTCAAATTTGTATATGTGTTACTGAAGTGAGCACATGGGTTCAAATTTATGATCCTCCTGCCTCAGCCTCCAACAGTGCTGGGATTGCTGGGATGGTCTGGTTGTTATAGTTTCCACTTTTAATGGAAATGAGGACCTCATTGCCTCTCATTGCTCTCAGTTTGAGCAGTGTGAATAGGCAGATAAAGAAATATTGGCTACAGCCTCAAACGTTTTTGGCAGAATGATTTTCTTGTGTCTACCTACATCAGCAGATTAACAGCATACTGTTGGATAATTTGCAGATAGCCACCAATTTGTACTGGACTGAAGTGCTTAAGCATGTCGTATTGTGTGCACAGAAACCCAGGGTTTGAGTCAAAGCAGCCTGGGGTGTCCTCATTTCATGTAAGCTCTGGTTCACTTCTTTTGTCTGGGAGCAGTGCAGAATATGGAGATGGGCACCAGCTGGCCTGGCGGTTGGCAGCCACGCAGGGCTGATGACACATCCACGTGGCACTGCAGAGCCCAGGCACTTCGGAACTCCTCCCACCCCACGGCCCTCTTTTACCGTTTTCCGTCAGCCCTCCAACCTCTTCCAGGACTACCCCACACGCTGCTGGGTAGCTTAATGTATTGTAAAGTGGATACCTGTGCCACCACCCTACTGCCCAGGTCAAGCACAGGAAGTTGCCATTGTTGGCATCCTTTATCCCCATCTGTCACTTACCCCTGGTTCTCCCCTGACTTCTGTTGTGTTTGTGTTTCTGTTTGTCTCTGTCAGTACACCACAGAATTCTGCATTCTCGATAATCGTCGTTTCCTTTGGCCTGTTTTTTTCAAACATTATATAAGTGAATCACGCAGTGTATTCTGATGAGTCTGGATTCCTTTGCTCACTAGTCTCTGTCTAAAAGTCGTCCATTGCAAGCATCATTTGGGATGCACATGAGTGAGAAAGAGAGTGGACAGAAGAGAAGCCAGTGCAGGTGACAGAGAAACTGCCATGGGTTGCAGAGGGACCTGGGCTGTCCATGTTTTCTTGGGGCAGAGCTGGAGCAGTGGGTTATGCAGGCATGTAGTTCTGGTGACCTGAGGCAGAAGCTACAGCTGAAGGCCAAAAGGCCAAGGGGAGGATCACAGGTGAGTCAGGAAAGGCTAGGGAGGAGGCGTTTCAGGTTGGAACAAAGCCTGGACAGAAGCCCAGGCAGTCCTTGCATGGCCTTGCTGGACCGGCAGGCGCTGAAACAGTGGACTCTGGGAGGCTCCATCTGGTGGCCACATGATGCAGTGACACTCTGAGACCAGGGCCATCCAACCTGATGGCCTTTACAGGAGCTGCCCGCACCAAAAGAACTGGCAGCCAGCAGATACCCGTCCCTGAGCTCAGACCCTCATGTGAGCCACAAGGGCACAAGAAAAGAATCTCTTAAAGGCTGCTTCTGATTAGTCCTTGAAGTTTCAGGAATATCTGTAAGAAGTGAAGCTTTTTGCATATTTACGTTTACTGACCAAGGCCTGTCTCTAAACTTGATGTTCTCAGAGCCCTTCTTCCAGCTGTGTGGCCTTAGAATTGCTGCTGTGTCCTCTGATGCTCATAGTGTTTTGTAAGCACTATAGTAGCCTCTAGTGACAGAGGCTATGAATACCTTGTTAGAGTTGGACTATGCAGAGAATATTGTGATCATATTTTTATTATGATGATATTTTTATTCATGATCATATTTTTATTCACTGTGATCGTATTTTTATTCATGAGCCAAGACACTTGGAATCTGGATGCCTTATGAGACTTAATTATTTGGAGAGTTTTTCTGATTGTAGGATCTCACAGAAACTTCAGAATGTGTGTGTGTGTATGTGTGTGTTAGGAACTACTCTTCATTTTCTCAAGTTTCAAGGTTGAAATGTTGCTGGCGATATTAATTAGTTGCACTCTGAGATCTCATTGCCTCTTCAATAATTCTGGGAAGAATGGTCATCGTTACTTACCTTTGTACCTGTCCCACTGAATCACAATAGTTTATTTGTGGCTGATTCTGTTGGTAAGTGAGGGGTGTCGGTGTTTGAGTACTCCTGCCGCCTCTGAAGGGGCTTGGCCCGTAGCAGATGCCCCATAAATGTGAGTGGTATGAAGCGGGGGCCAGCAGCCTGTGTCCTGCACATGAGATCTAGTCTGTTACTTGTTCTGTAAGTTTTATGGATGCCCAGCCACATCCCTTCATTTACATACTGCCTGCAGTTGCTTTGAGCTATAAGTGCAGAATGCAGTAGCTTCCCCAGTGATTATTTGACCCACAAAACTGAAAATATTTTCCAGTTGCTAAGCCCTATCATTTCAGTGAGTATGATGGGAAGGAGAAAAGTGGCCAATTTGTCCAAAAAGCTTGGGAGGCCCCGAGGAGTCTAGTAGCAGTTTCTCCCGTGCCTACACCGGCTGAGGCTGAGGTGGGTACTTAGCCCATGACAGCCGACCTTCCTTGCTCACTGGAGACTTAATCTCTGTGAGTTATGTCTTTCTAGTCTGTTTGTCCAACTCATTTTGGGTTTAGTTAAGTTGGCAAATAATATGGCACAGTGAGATTGGGAGAGGAATACTGGCATAAAATTGGTCAGGTTCTGGTGGCCCCTGGCCACTGCTGGGCAGACAGAGGAGAGGACAGGTGGAAGGCCACAGCATTTCATGAGGGGTGGTAAGATGGTGGCAGCACACTGTGTAATGTCTCCAAAAGGGAAACCGTCCAAATGCCCATCTGCAGGAGAACGTAAAAGCACATTAAGGCTTATTGCTACCATCAAATAACACAGAACAGGAGTTGGCAAAGTCCACTGTCTCCAGGGCCAGCTCCAGCTCACCACATGCTTTTATACGGCTCGTGAGCTAAGGATGGTTTGTACATTTTTTATATGGTTGAAAAAACCCAAAAGAAGGATAATATCTTGTGAAACCTGAAGATTATATGAAATTCGAATTTCGGTGTCCATAAATAGCAGTTTTTATTGAAACGCAGCCCCCGTCGTTAATTCATATATGAGCTCTGGCTGCTCTCAAATGGTAATGCAGGGTGGAGTGAGTAGTTCCAACAGAAACCACATGGCACACAGAGCATCAAATCTTTACTTTCTGGCCCTCAACAGAGTTTCCTAGCCCGTGTTCTAAGGCAGAGGGGATGAACAAACAGTAATTATGCTCAACAACAGGGACAGACCTTATGAACTAGTAGGGAACACAAGAAGCCAGACACAAGATCTCATCTACATAAAGCTCAGAAACAAGCAACAGTAATCTATGGTATGACAGTCAGGATGTTGTTTACCATTAGCGGCAGTGGGAGGGCTGGGAGGTCCAGAAGGAGGCTGCTCGGAGCTGTCACTTGGTCTTCCTTGACCTGGAAAAGAAAAAGATTTCAATGTGGCAGCTACTTAGAAAGTTAAACATAGACTTCCCTTCGGATCTAGCAGTTCCACTCCTGAGCATATACTCGAGTGATGAAAATATATGTCCACACAAAGGCTTCCACAAATGTTTGTAATAGGATTATTTATAACAGCCCCAAATACACCCAAACAAAATGTGATATAGTCACACAATGGAATGTTATTCAGCACTGAAAAAGAATGAAGCACTGACACATGCTACAACGTGAATCAATCCCAACACCATGATGCTAAGAGAAAAAAGCCAGACACAAAAGACAACAAATCACATGATTCCGAACAGGAAAATCCGTGGATAGAAACTAGATTAGTGGTTACTGGGGACTGGAGAGGGAAGTGACTGTAGTGGGCACAGAGTTACCTTTAGGAGGATTGAAAATGTTCTGGGCTTGGGTAATGAGGACAGTTGTACAAGTGTGTGACTATTTCCAAACCACTAAATTGTGTCCTTCAAAAAGGTGACATTTATAGTAAAGTACATGAATTGTTCTTTAAAACAAAATGCTTAAGCCAAGCATGGTGGTGCTTGGGAGGCTGGGCAGGAGGATCCCAAGTTGGCCAACCTGGTCAGCTTCGTGAGACCCTGTCTCAAAATAAAATAAAAAGGGCTGCGGATGCAGCTCAGTGGTAGAACATGTGGGTATTACGCATAAAACTCTGGGTTAGATTCCCCAGGACTGGGAAAAAGAAAAAGAAAAAAGAGAAGAAAACAATTGGGAAAAGGTCCCAAGGCAGCGGCCACCTTATCCACACTTTCCGCCGCTCTCTCATGTGTAAATAACTCAAAAGCTGACAGAGAGAAGGCCTAGCTCCTCCATCTGAGATGTCTCATCAAACCCAGATGATTTGAGTAGCACGGAGTAGTTTCTAGAATTCAGCTAGAAGGGGCATGTTAGATTTGCTATTTTTGTTTACTAAAACTGCATTTCTCAGAAAAACAGGACGAAAGGACAGATCATAGATAACTCGCTTCCTGGACCTTCCCTGTCATCACGTCCAACTCCACTCCCATTTCCCTGCTGTTTTCCTTTGGTCTGGTGGGAGAACAATGGCAATCTCTGTGGTATCTACTTCTGCATGTTGCCATTGCCCGGAAAGGGCAGCTGGTTCCTCGTTAACCTGCAAGGCTCCATTGTAGCTGGGCGTTGGGAGGCTGAGGCCGGAGATAGTGAGTTTGTTGCCACCCTGGGCTACATACAGAGTTCAAGGCCAGCCTGGACTACTTAGCTGCCTCAAATAAAATAAATAAATAAAAGATTCCATCACTTCCTGCAGGTATCTTTTCTTATATGTTTATCAGTCTCTTTGGGGTTACACTTTTTGATCTTTACTTCTAGGTATTAAGGCCAATAATGGTTGCAGATACGTTGGTTGCTTTTGATTATCCACTGTTTTAATTTTGCTGACACTGAACAGTATATAATTGAGGACTTTCTGCTCTGTAATGATGGATGAAAACAACTGGCAGTGAAGATAGCGCTGAAGTTTCTGGGAAGTCCCACATGCCTGAACATTATCTGTGGTAGACATAAATAGTTTTGATAAATGAAAAAAAGGGCCATTTGACCCTAAGAGGATGGAAGGACCACGTCCTTACTAACTTTCTATGTCTGGCATGTGCTGGGGAGGGCGTGGGGGAACTGTAGAGACACAGCCCATTCCAGGGGGCAGGCTTGAAAGTGGAGAGTGGTGAAGCTCGGAGAGGGGCATTGGAGGTCACAAAGGCAGATGGGATTCATGCAGACCTCTCATTTAGTGTTTTTACCACTTTGTATAGTGGTATTTCAGATCTGAAAGAAAACAGTCTCTAATCAGTGTACATGCTTCGAGGAACTTTTTTAAAAAGATGCTGTAAATGTCAGGCATAGATTCATATTTTAATGGCTTCTTTTATTTTTGGTAAAGAGATGCCCACAAAAGATCCCACAAAACCTCAGTGGGATGACCTGAATCTCCCCGAATGGAGCTGGGGTCCATCGGGTGCCCCTGTCAGCTGCAGATGGTGATGGACGTAAATATGAGCAAACTGCAGGGTGGGAAAAAAACCTGTTTTCATCAAACACCTACATTTTTTTTCAAATTTTAACCCACACTTACGAAGCACAGTCACTTGCCACATGCGCAGTGCTTTACAAATGTCGCCTCTTTCAGGCTGCATCACAATATCCTGAGGCAGGTGCTGTTATGATCTCCACTTTATAGTTGGGACACTGAAACACAGTAAGCTTCAGCACCTTGCCCAAGTCACACAGCCAGGAAGCAGCACAGCTGAGATTTGAACTCAGGCAGTGGTGTTCCAGAGTCTGTGGTTCTAACCACTAGGCAGTGTTGCCTCTCATAATAAATGCCCAAAGAGCAAAAGGAAAAGGCACAGTATTAAAGAACTAGCCATGTCACACTCGTTGTTTGTTTCAAAATATAGCTATGAAAAAATACAGCAGCAGGTTATAGCAATTCACTATCTAGTTTATAATGGCAGACAATCCTCATTTTCTTCTAGATACTTCTCTGTATTTGCCAAGATGTTTTGGGAGTTGAGTGCTCAGTTATATTTTTTGCAACAGTATATCTGGTTTCTGGATGCCTTTTTAGAACTCTGCTATCCCCCACCCAGAGGTGGAGTCTACTTTCTCCCCAGCGGGACCTGGATGTGTTTTTGTGCTTGCCCTAATGGACAGCATGTAACAAAAGGTGACTGCCTGATGTCTGAGGTGATGTGGTTTCTGCCCGATCTCTTTCTGGACACAATTCCTTTGGAGCCTCTAACCTCCAAGTAAGAAGCCCTGCCACCCAATGTTGGCGTGCTTAGAGAGGCCACATGGGGTGCCACATGGAGAGGGAGGTCCAGGAACTTGGCTGTTCGGGTACCCAGTTGTTGATTTTCCCAGTCCAGGTGCAGGTGTATGAGTGAAGAAGCCTTCAGATGATTCCAGCCCTTGTCTGACCACAGCCTTTTGAGAGACTTTCGGTGAGACAGATGTGTCCAAGACGAGTTCAAGCCTAATACCAGGAGACGAAAAACTAAGATAATTGTTCCTGTCTACACCATTGTGTTTCAGGATCTGCAACAGAGAGCTCCTACCCCTCTTATTTTATAGCCACAGTAACAGTGACATGTACAGTGGTCTTGGAAGGCAAAAGGGCAGAGACACTATAAGAAACACGAAGGGCTGCTGACATGGCAGGTGCTCTTAGCACCTCTCCTATTGCCAATTCCTTCAGCCTGCGTAATCTCTCCAGGAATTCCACCCTGGGACTTCTGGGCCCCTACGTGCAAACAGATTCTGCTTCTTTCTGGAAAAATGAAACAGATTCTGCTTTTTTCTGGAAAGATGAATTACAGACCATGATGAAGTCAGACTTAGTGCTCAAAGAAAGCCTAACATTTGACCCACTTCTCCTGATTGACAGCACACATTCCAGCCATTGAGCTCATTTTTTTTAAACAGCCACAGTCACGGAATTCCAGAGCGGGAAGGGTCCTTGGACTCTCATTCTACGGATGAGAAGACTGAGGCTCGTGGCAGTCAGGAGACCCTTTCCCATGATTCCACATCCGGCTACAGACAAAGTCAGTTATGGGCTCAGGTTTGCAAATAGTTTGGTCTTTTTGCAGGTGAAAAGAATGGTAACCCTTCAACCTTCAGAGCAGAGGGGGAAGAATTTATATCTTTTTTCATAGATGCTTCTCAAAAGAGGTGGCAGAACACAGAATTCTAGAGTCAAAAGAACAGGCACAAAACACTAGTTTAGAGTACTTTACTTATATCCACTCACCCAATCTTCACAAGTCTATTTTCTTTTTTCCTTTTTTTAATTTTTTTTTTTTTTTTTGTGGTAATAGGGAATAAATCCAGGGCCTTCCCACTGGGCTAAAACCCACAGCTCTTTTTATTTTTTTTTATTTGGCAGGATCTTGCTAAGTCACTAAGTTGCCCAAGGTGGGTTCAAACTTGCCATCTTCCTGCTTCAGCTTCCCAGAATGCTGAGATTATAGGCATGTGTCAGCACACCCGGCTGACTAATCTGTTTTCATACCCACTTCACATGTGAGGAAAGAGTGGCACATAGCTTTCCTAGTCTTTAGCTCAGAAGTCTAGTTTTTCCTGAAAAGCAAAAGCAAAACATGTAGAAAGGGGTCCTTGCCACTGTTGCCCCAGTGACTCAGAGATATAAACACATTGAAATACACTCAAAACCTGTTATTTTTTTTAAAATTCTTTTTTTTTTTTGGTTTTGGTTTTTCTCCGGTACCGGGAACCGAACTCACGACCTTGCGCTTGCCAGGCAGGCGCTTTTGCCGCTGAGCTAAATCCCCAGCCCCTTCAAAACCTGTTATTGAACACTGACTCCATACCAGGCCCAGCAATGGATGTGCAGAAATGAGTATGTTGTTCGTGGCTGCAGAGGGTGCTGGGAGAGTGAGAAAGTATTTGTAGCCAGAACATAATTGTAAGTTCTTGTAAAGTGCTTGAGAAGGCCAGGGAGGGTGTCCCAACTCTCTCTGGGGAACTTAATGCAGTTTTACAGATGCAGAGAGGCAGAGCAGGGTGTTGAAGGATGAACAGGAACTTTTGTGACAGAAGAGGGAAAAACTATTTAAGGTAGAGGGAACAGCACAGGCTGTGGGTTTCTGCCTGACCTTTTGGTCATAGATGTTGTGAGTAGCCCCAGGTATATCTAGTCAAATCTTAACTATACTTTCAGTCTGTCCTTTTGATCTTGATTGGTGTGATTTCCTGCTTGCTTTCATTTTCTAGAACCCATTATGCTGGTGACCAGCCCACTCAGAGTTGCTTTTAACATCAAAGTTACATATTGGATCATTGTTGCTGTCACCCTTGGCACATGATTGTCATTGTTGGGCTCTGGTGATGGGAATTTTACGAGACCCGGTCTGTTGTGGCTACCTCCTGTTGAATACTTTGATCCTGGCTGGGGGACTTCGTGCCGAGTTCCCCACCTACGGATACTTTCTTTCCTTAAGTGATTGGATAAAAGACATATGTATCCTGTGGGTCATTGAAAGTCCATTTGTAGTTAAATAATGTTTGTGTAGGAAGAATGTTATCTTGTCGGGCAGGATACAGCCAGCATGAACTAGGGCAAAAATTCTTTTCTATTCTGTCTCTGCTAGTGGCTTTGTCATCTGCAGCTGCTGTAATGCTCTTCCCCTGGATGTGGTCTGCTTTAGCATAGCTGGCAGGACTTGTCTTTCCTTTCCTCTCCCTCTGAGCCCAAGTAACTGTTATTTGTGACCTATTGTTATGATGCTGCACGTCACGACTCCTTCAGAGAACTCAATGACTTCAAACAATAATTTTTTTTGGCTGGGGATTGAGCCCAGCATCTTGTACTTGCTAAGTGGTCACTTTTTTCCTGAGTTATGCCCCCAGCTGTACACTAGCCATTTATTGTTCTCACAAGTCTATAGGTTGGGCTAAAGGTGGCTGTTTTGGGCTGCACTCACTTATGAATCTGTGGTGAGCAAGGCCTAGACAGTCTAGGAGAGCCTCCCTGAGATGACCCCACTTACCTCCATTTGTCATCTTCCACCATTGTAGCCAAGGATGCTTCTCATGGTGGGGGCAGAGGTTCAAGAAAGCAAGCAGAACCTGCATCAATTCTTGGGGTCTAGGCTCAGTATAAACATGCTGCCTTTTATTCCACATGTTGCAGGCCAGCCGAGACTTACGGGAGTAGAGAACCGAATTCCATGTCTTCACGAAGAAGAGCTGCGAAATCACATTGACAAGGCTGTAGATACAGCATGGAGTAGATGATACGGGCCATTTTTGCAGTCAATCTACTGCATAGATCAGGCATCAACAAATTTTTTCTGTAAAAAGCCAGATGATAAGCATTTCAGACTTTCTAGGCCATGTTGTCTTTGTTGTAATTCCTCATCTCTGCTGTTACATGACAGCTGCCGTAGACAACATGTAAACAAGTGGGCATGACTGTGTGCCAATGAAACTTTGTCTGTAATACCAGGCAGTCTGATTTGTCCCATGGACAACAGTTTGCTGAGCCCTGAACACTTATGATCCAGGCTCAGTGTGAATCTCAGACTTAGCTCCAGGATGCTATTCTTCCTTGAAACCACGGCCTCCAGGCCATAAGCAGAGGTGTGATCTGCCAGCAGAAATGCTCTTGCTGGAGAAGAAATAAAAACACTTGAGAGGTGTGCAAGAGCCCCCTTTTCAGATGCAGATGACTTCGCATGTCCAGTTGCAGTGATCCTTGTGTTGTACTGAGCTGACAGAAGTTAAGTTTCCATTTCAGCGGCTTCTTGGCAGTGATCCCTGTTGCCCTCATGCTGTCTACATTCCAGTTCCTCCTCCATCTGCATGTCCTCATCCGGTCTCAGACAGCGTCCCTTCTGTTTTGCTCACTCGGCTGCCCGCTTCTTGCACTTTTCCTGGCCCTCCCCAAGTCTCTTCTCCTCTTCACCCCAACCTCAGAAGTGACATCAGCACTTCCTTTGGGGCACCCAGGAAGCCCCAGAGACTCTGCATATTGGATCCTGTTTGTTTTCTTCTACCAGTTACGGATCTAGTGGTCATGCCCCTGCCGTGCTCCATTGGAGTTTAAGTATGTAATTGTTCCCCAGAGTTACTTTGCGTTCCAAGCATTATTATCTGGAGGAGTTCATTGACTAGAGATTTGGTTAAATTTCAGGTCATATCAACCCATTTTCAAAAGACTGTTCGAGTCCCTGCAGTCCTGCCTGCTGCCTGGCTGGGCCTCTCTGATGAGGGCTTGGCATTGTGGGTGAACAGCTTGTCATCTTATTTTTCCCATCAGAGATATTCAATTTTCTTTACCACACATAATAAGAAATTATGACCATCATATTTTTGTAGAATGAGAATAAAATCTCCGCTTTCTAATTTTATTCCTTCCCTTATATTACTGGTTATGTTATTGGTTGCTACTGACTTATGCAACATGATTCTTCCCCGGGTGCTCATCAGCGAGTATAGTTTTCAAGTTGGCACAGCTCGAGCCTCAGACTTTGAAAGCTTTAAAGTAACCAAGTTGCACAGATGGTCAGTATATCAATCATTGTGGCCACTTTATTGCTTGTAAGGCGATTACCCTACTTTGCCTATGGTGACTTTTCAATGTAATTAAAAGTCAGTTTCATCAAATCATGGTTGAGTCCTCAAAATATATAAATATATAAAGCAGTGGGAGAAGTCTGCAACCAAACATTTTTATAACCACCTTCAACTTTTTAACCATCCATTCCAGCACTTTTGTGGTCCTCATTTATAATTCAAATTTCCATACCCTCTGCCAAAGTAATTGTTATTGAGTGCATATTCCAACCTCTCTTCTCTGTAAGAGTGTATTATCTTTTTCTGCCAACTGGGTCAACATTGGTCTTGCTGCAAAGCATTTTCTACATTGCAGATGAGCTCCTATGTGATTTGCAGATCAAGCTTTGATGCTGGTAGAATGCAGAGGATGCACTGACTCATTTGTGATTATTTTCCAGGCAACAGCAACCTGAAGAGCAGGAATGGAGTTGTTATCTTAGACATGAAAGGAAGTCATATTCAACTTTGCTCCTGCCTTGGCAGCAGGAGCCTTTTTAACTGTATTTTAAGAAAACTTAAAAATGAGCCTCTGCACCTGGAGTACCTTGCCACTAGCTTTGCATGGCTCTTGCTTGGGTCATGGCAGGTTGTCCTGCCTCTCTTGTCTCCCTACAAAGTGGCGCCCCCTGGTGTAGAGAGCGGCTGCTATCTGCAGATTGCTTTGGCTTCTACCAGTGAATTAAAGTCATGCCAGCATTTCATTCTGTTACAGTCTATTTGGGATGTCCGTGATGACAGCTACACAGGCTGCCTGCCTCATAGGGGTCTGCTTTGTCTCCTAGGGAAAGCAGTTATCATCTTTCTTACAGTTATTTGCTCCTCCAGCCCTCTCGTTTTCATTCTTTCCTTTTTTCAGAACCTGAGATTTTTCAGAAATGCATACAGTTGATCTTCACATGTGGACTCTAATTGAAAATTTGCCTTTTTGCAAAAACGTACTTTGTAACCCCCCGTGTTAGTGTTACAGTTTGTATCTGCTTTTTTTCTTTTTCTTTTTCTTTTTTTTTCCCTGGTACTGGGAATCAAACTCATGAACTTGCGCTTGCCAGGCAGGCACTGCGCCGCTGAGCTAAATCCCCATCCACGGTTTGTATCTGGATGTCCCCCCAAAGCCTCATGCATGAAGAGGTGGAACTTTGGAGAGGCAAAATGATAATGAAGTGCTATATTCATCCACAGATTAGTCTACTGATAGGTTTATGACTGTCTGGTTGGAAGAGGTACGTAATTGGGAGCATGACCTGGAATGGTGTATTCCTACTCCTATCTTCTCACTTGCTGTGTGCTTTCTGTCCATCATGATATGAGCAGATTTTCCTCTGCCATGCCCCTCTGCCATGCTGTCCTGCCTTACAGCAAGCTGACCATGGACTGACGTGGGCCAAAGTAAACTTCTCCCTTAAATTGTAGGCACTGAGTATTTTGTCTCAGAAATGAGATAAGTGGTTAAGACGTGTTATTCAGCTTTCTGTCACCAAAACAAAACACCTGAGACCATCAATTTACGAAGAGAAAATGTTTATTTTCCCTCACAGTCTTGGAGGTTCAGTCTGTGACCAGTTGGCCCCTTTGCTTTGAGCCTGTGGCGAGGCAGCTTATCATGGCAGGAACAGATGGGGGAACAAAGGCAGTCACCTCAAGGTGGGAACACAAAAGTGGAAGAGGGTGGAGCCCCACAATCACCTCTAAGGTGAAATCCTGATGGATTTCCTTGAGAAATAACATAAGGACCTCCCTTTAGGTTACACTTCTTGAAGTTTCCACCACCTCCCAGCAGCGCCACCCTGGGTCTCTAGGGCATATTCTAGATCCAAATTCCAGCACCTCAGAACTGGTGCTCACAGCGCTTTCAAGATCCTTCACAAACATATGCACGTGCAGTGTGCCAAAAAATTTCAGTTGCTAGAAACACATGCTAGCAGCTGAGGTTGCAGAAGGTAACATTCTGCCTTTGTTTCCACAATCAGTACTGAGAACAAATGCCCCGTTTTGGTCTATTTAGTGCCACACTTTTTTCTTTGCATTTTTGTGCTTTTTTATTGGTGATTTTGCTGTTTCAGTGGCCCTGAAATATAATGCTGTCTAGCGTTCCTAAGTGTGAGAAGATTGTGATGTGCCTTGTGGAGAAGATACAAGTGTTAGAGAAACTTTGTTTAGGGATGAGCAATAATGCCATTGACTGTGAGTTCAATGTCAATGAACCAGCAGTATATGCTAAATAAGGTGTCTTTAAATGGAAGCACACATAAAACAAGGTTATGTATTAATCACCTGACAAAATTGTGACCAGAGGCTCACAGGAATTTAAACCTGGGTAATTCTAGGGTCAGTGGTTCGGTATTTTCTTTGTTCTTTTCTGTGGTGTTGGGATTGAACCCAGTGCCTTGTGCATGCTAGGTAGACACTGTCACTGAACCACATCCAAAACCCTTTGTATTTTTTGACACAGAGACTCACGAAGTTGCTCAGACTGGCCTCAGAGTTGCAATTCTCTTGCCTCAGCCTCCTGAATAGCTGGGATTAGCTATCAGTATTTTCTGGTTCAGTGTTTGAGGTGACTTTATAGGATATAACTGTGAGCCACTGGGCATTGTGGCCCAGTCCTATAATCCTATCACTCTAGGAGGCTGAGGCAGGTGGATCAGAAGTTCAAACCCAACCTGTGCAACTCAGCAACTTAAGAAGATCCTGTCTCAGAAAGGGGGAGAGGAAGGCCTAGGAATGTAGCTCAGTGTTAAAGCCTTGGATTCAATCTCTAGTACTGCCAAAAAGAGACATAACTGCTGATGAATTATGAGAGCTGGCTGTGTGTATATTACATTGTAACAGAGATGCTTATGCTGAGATAGTTTTTTTAATACAAGAACGTTGAACTCATGAATTATTCCCTACTTCAGTTTTAAACGCTGATTTTCTCCTCCAGGTGTAAGTAGCATGGTCAATGCAGGAGTGATGAGCAGCTCTGGAAACCTGATGGATTTCCTTGACGAACCATTTCCTGATGTGGGGACTTACGAGGATTTCCACACCATTGACTGGCTGAGGGAAAAGTCACGGGACACTGACAGACACAGAAAGGTAGGTAGTGCTTGAAGACCTCACTGAGGGGGCTACCGGCCAATGATATGCACTGTGCAGGAAGGTACCAGCTCTGGAGCTGGGGTGGAGGTGCCCGTGCCATGGACTAGTTACATTCAGAAGGGAAGGATGAGTGAGAGAGGCAGAGATAGGGGCAGAGAATTATAAGACCAGGCACTCTGGGTGAGAGGCTGTGTTGTACCGAGGAAATGTAGTGTAGAGGTTAGAGGGGACCCTGGAGCCAGGTAAATCTAGGGCACATCCTGCCCCTGACACATTCAGGCTGGACATCTTTGAAGGTGTCATTTCTAGGCCCCATTTTCTCATCTATGAAGATGGAGTTAATTACATTTGAAGACTGAATGAAATTGTGTGTGTGTGTGTGTGTGTGTGTGTGTGTGTGTGTGAAGGCACATTTTCCCAGTGCTTGGCATCCAGCTGGCCTGGGGGATGGACCACAGTAAAGGTAAGAAGCAGTGCCGTGAGATCATTCAGGAGGGATGGCTAAGGAAGGGCTTCTCCTTTCAGTTGGGGTTTTAAAGATGAGTAAGAATTTGCTAGGCAGAGGGAGCAGGAAACGATTCTAAATCTCAGGACTGGCATTTTTAAAAAAAGAGTTAGGAAAGAACATGGTACCTGTGGGCAACTCGGAGAGCTCCTAGGGTGTGCAGGAGGATTCATGAAAGGAAGGTAAAATGACAAGTTTGACCTGTGGGCGACGGGGCCACGATGGTAATGCCCAAGTGGGCTACGGAGAAGAGTATATTTTGTATTGAAGGCTGCAGAACTGGATAAAGGTGAAGGGAGGAAGAGGAAGCTCAAATGTCAGGTCAGGAGAAGAAGGAGGGCTGACTGAAGACAGGGAAGTGCAGATGGAGCGGGGACAGGGTGAAGAGCTATGCTGAGGTTCCACTGCCAGGCTTTGAGGGAGGGCTGGAGGGCAGGGGTGGAGTTGTACCAAGGAAGACCAGGCTGCGGCCTTTGCTGCTGAGAATAAGGAGAGGAGCAGCAGCGGGAGGCAGAGGGAGGCCAGTGCATTACTGGTTCTCATGCTTCGAGTTGCAGCTGCCTGCCTGGGCTGCCGCTGGGCTGGGGTCAGCAGGCAGAAGGAACTCTGCAGTTCAAGGATGAGGCTAGGGTTGCGATGGAGAAGGGGGGGGTCCCTGCACGCAAGTGCATCCTGAAGCTGTAGAAATGGGCAAGGTGGCGTGGGCAGAAGGATCAGGCAGTCAGGACCCTGGGGCGGCACAGACGGGGAGCCATAGCGAGACCCTCCGAAGAAGCTGTTCAAGGCGAAGGACGGAACCAGCCAGGTGCGGTCCCAAGTGAGAGGAGGACAGAACGTTGAGGGGGCTGCTCACTACGTCACCTTCCACGAGAGGCAGAGTAGCAGGGCACCCCAACGATGTGGGGGCTGTCGGTGGGCAAGCTGCTTCAGAGGAGGACGAGAAATGACGCGGAGTGCCGCTGTCACGTCATTTCCTGAAGGTTGGCATGAAGGAGGAACAGATGCATAGGGGACAAGGCTTGCTCAAGACGATGCAGTCTCTCGGCTCCCACCTGGAGGAACGTAGCAGACAGAGACGCCTTCACCCTGGAGCAAGGATCAGCAAACTGTGGCTCTCAGGCCAAAGTCAGCTGGCATCTTGTTCTGCAAATGTAGTCACTGGAGCTCAAGCACGCCTATTCTTCTACACATCTTTCATGGCTTCTTTTGTGCTACTAAGGCAGAGTTGGGTAGATGGAATAGAAACTACTTGGCTCACAAAGCTCAAAATATTTGTACCCTGGCCCTTCACAGAAGTGTTGCTGACCACCCCTCTAGAGGGTTGTGAGGGGAATGATGATCTCAGGATGAAGTATTCTGTTGACACTGGGAGGAGAAAGGGTGTTCTTACTGCAAGCACAGACACATCTGTTTGCTGTGGTAAACATAAGCGATGCTAGGTGACTCAAAGTTCTTGCTGTTAGAATTAACCTTGAAAACAAAAGTAGCAAATAAAGTTTATTGATTAGGCACTTATCGACTTACTGAAGTTTGTATTTTCTTATGTATTTATTTGAGACAGTGTTTCTCTGTGTAGTCCAGGCTGGGTCATGAATTCAGTGTGTAGCCCAGGCTGGCCTCAAGCTCAGGACAATCCTCCTGCATCAGCCTCCTGAGTGCTTAGATTACAGGCGTGTGCCACCACTTAAATATGCTTATTAATGAACAGACCTTACAATGTAAACTAAATTAGTAACTCATATTCAAACTGGTGATGTGAAATCAATATCTCCCTTCAGAATAGATTTTAAATAATCAAAGAGTAAATCATACTTAGTATGTTTTTTTAATTAAGTGGAGTTTTGTACTCTGATTCTGTAGAGAATACTGTGTTATGGCATCTTTATAGCTCTGTGATCTTGAAAGCCCATTTTATCATCATGGTGCATGACTGAAAAAATGATGTAACTGGGAATTTAGTTGCTTAATTACATTCATTTTCTCAATTGCTGTTTCCCAAGGAAACCATTTCAGGAAAAGAAGCATGAATTGGGAAATCTGTTCAGATCAACTGCTGTGTCTCTTTGTTTCTAGATAACCAGCAAAAGCAAGGAGTCCATCTGGGAGTTCATCAAGAGTCTGCTGGATGCCTGGTCAGGATGGGTGGTGATGCTGCTTATCGGGCTGCTGGCGGGTACGTGGTAGGGTATGCAGTACTCCCTTGCAAGGCCAGGGAGGCTGGGATCCAGAACAACAGCTGTTTGGGAGGATATTTGGAATAGGAAGCATTTATCCTTTCCTCCCCACGCAAGGGTTTATGACTTGAAATATGTAAGGGTAAAATACACAACCATATATTTAGCCTAAAATCTATCATCAAGCCCAAGGCATGGGCTCCTGGTGAGCTGTAATATAGTGCTGTTTGGCCCTTCCACCTGGTAGGTGCTACAGTTTATTACCACAGTGGATTTTCTTGAAAACACACCTTGTACATTATCTTGTACTTGGTTATGTAGAAGTCAACAAAGTATGGAAGGGAGCCAGGGATGTAGCTCAGCGGCACATGCTCCTGCCTGGGAAACGCAAGGTCCTGAGTTCGATTCATGGTACCCTCCCAAAAAACCCACCAAAACAAAGTATGAAAAATTGGATCTTCAATCAAGAAGCACCATATGACATTTCAGGAGTACTACTGGCAACCCACAAAATGGATTGTGAACATCTGTGGCCCTCAAAATAATGCTAGACACCCACCCACAGGATCGAGGGTGGACCCGGGGACAGTGTCTCCATTCCCTACATTGTTCTGACTCTCAGAGCCTCTGTGTCCTTTTATAATCCCAGTGCCACGTTTGTGAGTGGTAGATATTTCCAGAATAAGTACATGATTATTTGGAGGGAAAAAACAAACTGTGTACTAGGCTTATAGCTCAGCTGTGCAGTGTCTGCCTGGCAAGTGGAAGGTCCTGAGTTCGATTTCTGGTACAAATAAAATAAGTAAAATAAAAAAACAAAATGTACTAGCTCTTCTGGGAAATGGATTCTTGAAAATAATCTAAGGCAGACCCCACTAATGTGGCACAGATAAGATTTTGTGATGACAGAGGATTTTGATTCCTGGGAGAGCTCTCATGTACTCTAAAGGTAACTGTGGAAGGGGCTTGGTTGCCAGGGAAGCACTCCTCCTGCCCTGTCAGCCTCTGCATTCTGTAAGGAGGCACAAGGTATGCCTGGGGCAGAAGGGCGGAGTCTCTTCCTTCTAGTCACCGTGGCGGTCTGCCCACTTCTCTAGTTCTGTCCTTCCTTCGCCGCTCGTGTTTCCCAGTGCAGGATTGCATCCACCGGGGCGGGCACTGGACCCAGCAGGTGCAGTGTTCTACCACCCAGTTTTTGCATGACTGCTTCTATGAAGGTGACTATGTGGGAGTTTGCTGTGAATTTTGATGCTGTTGTGCAGAGGATTATAAAATCTTACAATGCATTATTATTCCTGGCCTCTAAGAAGGAGAGATAAGTGGAGGGGGACACAAAGAAGCTAATAAAAGATGTACTGGAGTCTTGGCAGAATAAACAGCACAGTTTAGATTTATTGATCAACCTAGGGGCCTTGTTGGGCCATCTTTAATGCATCTGATTTGGACCAGCTGGTCTCACTTGCAACCTAATTTCCATCGCTCCCTTCAAGAAGAATCATTTGGGGAATTTAAAATACTCTCTTGCCGAGGCTTCAGTGAAACAGCATTGAGTAAAGCTCCCTTCCTTCCCCTCCATGATTCAAAAGTGCAGCCAAGGGTGAGAATCATCCTTGGAGGCGGATTCCTTGGACATAGCAAATGAATGCAGCAGGGCAAGACCTGGGAGCATACTGAAAACAAAGGTGGCTGTTGTGTTCTTTTGATCTGGATGCACCTTGGAGGGAAATCTGTTCGCCTTCGCTGATGTCTAGCAGTGGGGAGGACCCTGCATCCCACTGCCTGGCCGGTCCTCCCCCAGGGGCCCCCTGACCATTTTATTTGTACCCTCTGATGGAGGCATCTAGCAGTATGTTCTCTGCAGAGTGTTTATCAAGTGCCACCACTGGGTGGCAATGTTGCACCACAGAACAAAGCTAAGGGCCACCCCCGAACTAGAATCAGCAAGGAAGATTGGGTGTGGAGTGTGATGATGAATGAAAGAAAAAGGATGGAACTCGGGGTGATGATTGAGTCTTGTTCCTGAATATCTGTGGGCCTCCTCCATCACCTTCAGGCCTTTGTTCAAATGTTTTCCATTTGAAGCTTTCTCTGATCTCTAAAATCACATCCCGTCCTCTCCGAGCCTGTCCTCCTCACCCTCTGTTTGCATTGATGTATGTAACAGCTTTATTGAAGTGTAACTCACATACCATGCAACTTGCCCATTTAAATGTACAGTCCAGTGGTTTCTAGTGTATTCATAAGAGCTGTGCAACGATCACCGTGATCAATTTGAGGACAATTTTATCACCTCTAAAAGAGCGTTTGCATCCTTTAGCTATCAAGTGCCAGCCTCCCCTCCCTGCACAAGACTACCACACATCTACTTTCTGTTTCTGTAGATTTGCTTATTCTGGACGTTTTATGCAAATAGAATCATATACTATCTGGTCTCTGTGGCTTTTCACTCAGCACAATTTTTTAAGGTTCATCCATGTTGTAGCACGTTAGTACTTTATTCTTTTTAATTGTCAAATATTATTCCACTGTATGGCAAACCACATTTTGTTCATCCTGTCATCCATCGATGCATAATTAGGTTGTTTCCACTTTGGGCTATTTTGAACAATGCTGTCATGCACATTTGTATACAACCCTCTTTGTGGATGAATGTTTTCATTTTTCTTGGACATAGAAGTATGTGGAGGAGTGGTGGTCAAATAGTAACTCTGTATTTAACTTTTTGAGAAGCTGTTACATTGCTTTCTGAGTTGGCTACTCCATTAGGGTCCTGTGATTTGTCTCTAGCACTTACTGCTTTCTAACAGAGCCCCTAATTCATTTACTTAATTTTATTAGCATCTCCTCCCCTCCAAAGTACAATTGTATGAAGGCGAGGACTTGGGGCTACTTTGCTCGCTTCTGTGCCCATAAGGTAAGACTAGTAACTGGCACACAGAAGCAGGTCCTCAATAAATAGCTCTTGAGCAAATGAATAGATCTGAGTTCTCTGATTTTTCATTCATTTGCATACTCCCCTCATTTATTCAACATGGACATATACTTCTAACCGTGTACCTGACATAGATACAACATACACAGGGCATACAGGGTCTGTAGCCACTTGGAGTAGACATGGGGTCTGGATGCCTGGCCTGATGTCTGCTGTAGTAGGAAAACTAGTCAACAGAACTTTCCCCCACCACTTACAAACTTGGAAGTACAAACACACACATGTGAACACATGCACAAACACACCTCTATCTGGCTAATCATGATACCACCATGTGTGAGGTATAGTGCCGGGGGAAGGGCAGGCAGCCACAGAGATCCTGGAAGTTCCACCCAACTCACACTTAGGAGATCACGGAAGCCCTCCTAAAAGAGGTGATAGAAATGCTGGACTCTGGAAGACAAGTAGGAGATTGCCCAGCGCAGGAGGGAGGGGCTCGCCAATATGCAGAGAAGGCACCTGTTATGCTCCAGGAACATGGAGTGGGGGTGGCATAGAAAAAGGTGCAACTGGAGAGTTAAGAGGGGTCAGCTGTCGGGGACAGAGACTTGTTGAGGGTTTGGCTGCTTTCCCAGGAACAATGGGAAATCATGGCACGGTTCTCTGTAGGTGGTGATGATAGCAAGGATCACAGCGGCATTTCTGAAAGCTTGTGGGACAACAGTATGCAGAAGCCATCGTACAGGAGTAATACTGGGGCAGGGAGACAAAGAGGAAGCTCTTGCTGCAGCCCAGGCCAAAAAGATTCCAAAATGGTGGTCAGAGTGGCAGCGGAGGCCGAGGGGAGTGGAGCCATTCAAGAGAGATTTCCAAGGTGGAGTTGCAAGGCTGTGGTGATCTCTCAGACAGGGAACACTTACCTAGGCTTGTAGCTGGCACAAGCCCTTGGATGGAGGGCTCTTTGCCCAGCTAGTCAAAGCAGAGGCGGGGAGGAAAATGCTTGAGTTCAGCAGTGGACACAGTGAGTTGGAGCAGAGTATCCAGTGACCCAAGAGGCGATTAGATTTGTGTCTTTTGACAATTCTTGGTCATTGGCTTTGACTAGTTGGGGCTCTATTAAAAAGGCTTGTGAGAGTGAGTCTAACAGAATGGTCATAATTAATTAGTCATGTCTGCCTGGGCACGTCAGAAGGCTGTGACGGTGAGTCCAAAAGAGTGTCACAATTGATTGGTGATGTTTGCAGTGGGCTTTGGAGGCTGGTAGCTGAGCTGTGTGGTTCTTCACATCGTTCTTTTTGTTACCCATGTACGTTTGTAGCTCAGTAGCAAACAGAAGGACACATATAGGGTTGCCAAGGTTGAGAGCAAAGAGAAGAAGGGAAAGGGTGTAGGGTTAAGCTTTGAGGAAATGCACCTTTTACAGGTTGGGTGGTGAAGTAGGAAAGACAGGAGAGACAGAGGAAACCAGGAGAGTTTAATGGTGTGGAAGTCAAACGAGGATGTGTTGCTGGGGCGTCAGGGACCAGCAGTGTCTGATGCTGTTGAGAGGCTTGAAGCGGGGTCAGCCAAGTTTTGCTGTAAAAGACCACTTGGGTAAGTATTTTCACCTTTGTTGGCCATGCAGTTCTTGTCTTAACCATTTAGTGCTGCACGGTAGCATGAAAGCAGCCGCGGTCAGTACATAACTGAATGGTAGAGCTGTGCTCGCATAGAATGTTATTTACAAAAACAGGCAGGGAGCCAGATGTGGCCTATGGGCTGGGGCTTGCAGATCCTTCTCAAGAAGATGAGTTCTGAGCACACGCACCATTGCCCTTAGCTGCATGGCTTTCTCCTGATGGGTGGAAGGGAAGTGAGCCTGAGAAGAGGAAGGAAAGAGATAGGATGGCCACTGGTGGGCGAGGGGGTGAGAGGGTTTGTTTTGGTTTTCATGCCTATGGGAAGAAGTCGTCAGAGAGAGAGGGGCTGAACATATCGGAGGAAGGGGGAATTGTAAGAGCAAAAGCCCTGAGGAGAAGGAAGGAGATCCGGGCTTAAGGAGAAAAGGGCCCTTGAACCCAGGTGGACAGCTTCCTACTGCAGAGTGGGTAGAATGCTAACGTGAATGCATTGTGGAAGATGCAGGATGGGCAGTGTAATAACATTCCAGTAGAAATATGAAAAATTAAGAAGTCTGAAACAAGCTCTGCCTTCCTAACAGGCTAGAACGGTGGTCCTGGAAAGAGACACGAGCAGCTTCCCATGGCCCACTCAACTACACCTTCTATTTTATTCCACTTCTCTTAGCCTTTAACTTTTTTTTTGGGTACATTTGTACAAAGTGGAGTGCCATCCCCACTCCGTGTTCCTGGAGCATAACAGGTCCCTTCTCTGCATATTGGCGAGCACCTCCCTCCTTCACTTGAATGGCTCCACTCCCCTCGGCCTCCGCTGCCACTCTGACCACCATTTTGGAATCTTTTTGGCCTGGGCTGCAGCAAGAGCTTCCTCTTTGTCTCCCTGCCCCAGTATTACTCCTGTACGATGGCTTCTGCATACTGCTGTCCCACAAGCTTTCAGAAATGCCGCTGTGATCCTTGCTATCATCACCACCTACAGAGAACCGTGCCATGATTTCCCATTGTTCCTGGGAAAGCAGCCAAACCCTCAACAAGTCTCTGTCCCTGACAGCTGACCCCTCTTAACTCTCCAGTTGCACCTTTTTCTATGCCACCCCCACTCCATGTTCCTGGAGCATAACAGGTGCTCTGCATATTGGCGAGCCCCTCCCTCCTGCGCTGGGCAATCTCCTACTTGTCTTCCAGAGTTACATAAGTGTAACACTTATGCTTCTCTTACCTGATTTAAGCAACTGAAACCTTCCTCCCATCGGGCTGGACACTGCCTTATCTACACCATAAATGTTTAGATGACTTGCGAGTGAGTGAAAGAAGCTTCCCGTGATGGCTGCAGCCCCCTGGCACGCTTGCCAACCCTGGTAACTGCCAGGTGCCTGGGCTGCCCTGTGCTGTGCATTCATTCTCCCCACACTGCGTTCACCTGAGGGCTTCGATCTTTCTTTCAGGCACCTTGGCTGGTGTCATCGATCTTGCTGTCGACTGGATGACTGATCTGAAGGAGGGCGTCTGCCTGTCTGCCTTCTGGTACAGCCACGAGCAGTGCTGTTGGACGTCCAATGAGACCACTTTTGAGGATAGGGACAAGTGTCCTCTGTGGCAGAAGTGGTCAGAACTGCTGGTCAGTCAGTCAGAGGTGGGTGTCTGCACAGGGTCCTGGCCGGGGTCTCCCAGCAGTCTGTGGTCCTAGAGCGCCTGTGCTGTCACCTTCCACGAATATTCCCTGGCTTAACACTAGTGTGTCTGTTTGCTTCCAGCTCTGATGCTGGCACTCACACCTCCCTTGGAAAAGCCTTTCGTGCTCTTGCATGTGCACAACACGCATGTGGTATTGTCAGAAGCCTGTGTTTGGTTTTTTCTCACCGAAGGGGGTTTCTTGATCACGCTAAAGAGTTGTTTTAATCCCATCTAATTAAAGAGAAATATGCTATTTCGATAGTCCTTCCGTTAATGCGTACAACTTGATGGATTTTAGTACATCCACAGAGTTGTGTAACTCCGACCACAATCTAATTTTAGAACATTTTCATCCCCTACCCATGAGAAAAACCCCTTACTCATTAGCAGTCACTTCCATGTCTTTCCCACCTGCAAACCCCAGGCAACCATTTATCTACTTTTGTCTACAGGTTTGCCTCTTCCGGATGTATCACATGAATGCAGTCATGCAATATGCAGACTTTGTGTCGCTTAGCATATTTTCCAGTTCTACCATGTTGTATGTAGCGTGAATCAATCCTTCCTTTTGTGGTTGGATGATCTTCCCTAGTATGACTAGGCTGCATTTTATTTGTCTGTCCATCAGCGGATGCACACACACCTTTTTGGCTATTATAAATGATGTTCCCACGAAGCTTTGTGCACAAACTTTTCTGTGGGCATATATTTTGTTCACTTGGGTATAAGTGGGACTGTTGGGTCAAATGGGACCTCTGTGTTTAACCTTTTGAGGAGCTGCCAGAACGTTTTCCAAAGCAGGTACAACATTTTACATTCCCACCAGCAGTGTGCGAGGGTTCTAATTTGTTCTCCTTCTTGCTGACCCTCATTAGTATCTGTTTTGCCTGTAGCTGTCCTAGTGGGTAGGAAGTGACATCTCACTGAGGTTTCAGTCGGCATCTCCCATTGCATTGTCTGATCACATTAGAGAGTTTGTTTCTGGGCCTGCTATGAAGACAGCGGCTCCTATTTGGGAATATAGTGGTGACCTGTAGGTCCAGTGCATCCTTCATGGCAATTAGAGCTTCAGGTCTTTATACAAATCTTAGCTCAGGAAAGGGTTAACTTAATTCTATTTGAATTTAGTGGTTACCCAATGGCTGGGGTCATTGGTGGATCAGAAAGCCAAGGAAGCTAGGTAACCAAGCTTCACGTTAGGGGTGACGGGAGGATTGATCACACTAGAGCTGTGCTTGGAGGATCTGTGTAATCTTATTTAATGCCTCCTTCCTCCCCCACATTTTTCTGATGGGCTTACCGCAGCTGAGGACATTTGGAATGCATCTCACCATTTTGCTAAACCTCTTTCTCAGTGGAATTGAAAATGTAGTCCTTCACATCACAGAAATAGACAGGGATCTTGAAATCTCACACGTTCTCAGGGCTCTCCATTACTTCCAAAAAGAAATTCTCTACTTGGGCTGATGGAGATGAAGAGGCTGAATTGGCTGGACACCATATTTTATTTCTTCTCTCCTATTTGCAATATGTGTTTTGGGGGAAATACGGTCATCCATCTTTTCAACTGGTTTTAAGATTTATACTTTGATTCAAAGAATTACTGTTCACAAGACTGAGAAGTTATTTTTAGCTTCTAAAAAAGTACATATTTAACTGCATGGAAGGTATTCCTCAGTCCAATTTCTCACCACATAGGGTGTGAATATATATGTGTTTGCAGCACCGTCCCCAGGAATGTGTTTTTGCATTTAATAGGCACACATGTGGTTTGGCCATGGCCCGGCTTGTAGGTAGTCTCCCCTCCCTCTCTTGAGTAATCCAGATGGTGGTAAGAAACTGAGGCCTCGAGAAATGAGGTCTTCACTCACTAGATTGGGTCCTTGACCCAGAAGACCCCAGACTGTGTGTTTGGTTCAGAAAAAAATTCTCCACAGATCAGACAATTTGGAGTAAATGGCTCAGAGAAATTTTCAGAAGAAGATGATTAGAGGTTCCACTCTAATAGTGCCTCTGAAATGTTAGTATCTGTCAGAATCTCCTGGAGGGCCTGTTGAAACACACTGAGCTCTGCCCCAGCCCACAGTGTCTGATTCAGCAGGTCTGGGGTGGGGCTGACAATGTCTGTTCCTAACAGGTGATGCTGATGCTGCTGGTCCACGGACCACACTTGAGGAGTTGGGCTCTAAAACACGGTTCCAACGCTGCTTTGTTGGTTGTGAGGTTGCTTGCTGTGGTACGGGTGTGGCCATAATGAAAGCTATGAGAGACCAACCCACCGCAGACAAGACAAAACAAATCTTCCAGAGTCTCGGGGGCAGAGTTTTCTGCGTCACACCTTTTATTAACTCTAGTACAAGTGGTGATTATACCCCTGGATCATTCAGGGTTTCCATTACTGCTGAGATTCACCTGGTAGAAGGTTGGTGTAAATAGCTCCTGGTGGAACACCCAGTGCTGTTTGTGTGTAGTGACTGTAGCAATAGCAACAGCTGATAAAATCCACACTGGCCCTTTTGTTTATGCAGGACAGGGACAAGCCTGCTCAATCCCATCAAAGCTTTGCTCTTACGGTGAAGGGGTGGGGTTGGGTATGTTGTTTGGGTTTGCCGTGTTCATGTTTTCTTCCTTGTTTTGTGTTTGTTGTTTAGGGTGCCAGTGCTTACATTCTGAATTACTTAATGTACATCCTATGGGCGTTACTGTTTGCATTTCTGGCCGTCTCTCTGGTGCGGGTATTTGCACCATATGCCTGTGGCTCTGGTATACCGGAGGTGAGTTGTGGCTAATTTTTTTTTTTGTACCAATAATAAGAATAGCAAACACTTCTATAGAATTGTTGTTCTAAGCCCCATTCCAAGCATTTGGCATCAGTTAATTAATTGAATCCTCACAATAGGCCTATGAGGTAGGCTGCTATGAGTCTTCACTTAATAGTGGAAGAAACTAAAGCACAGACAGGTTAAGGAACTTGCCTAAGGTCACCGCACTGGTAAGCTTTGAGTTGAATCCAGCAGTCTGACTTCAGGATTAGTACAGTGTATTCAAATTTTTGCTCCATTGCATCTCAGAAGATTAAACCACTGTCTTTGGAAACCAGGCTTAACTCTTAAAGCCTGTGGAATCAGAGTTCATTAACCACCCACATAAATGTGGCACTGCAATAACTCATGAGGTGCGTCTATGATGTAATGTGAGCAAAGTCAACAGTGGAGGACTGTTGCGAGAAACTTTACTGGTGACTAAACTCCTTTGCTACATTTTGCAGGTAATAGTGGCCTTTACAGATTAACTCCACTTTTGGTGCATACACTAAAAATGAACCCCTGTAAATGTGGAGGTTTTGTAAATAGGTTTCAGCACTTTCATGTAACCAGCGTCTGAGGAAAGTGACTTTACTGATCAAGAGGGATGCCTGAGACTGAATTTAAACCTGGGGGAGCCTAATGGGCACAATAATGATAATCAGGCTTGTTTCCAAAAAGGCTCAGACAACACGAATTTTAGCCTGAAATCGTGATAAAAGTTTTTGTATTTTCATTCTACTCAATGCAGTTCAGTTCTCCTTTGGGTCAGTGTTTCAGCAGTGCCCATAGCCAGTGGAGAGAGTGAGTTTGAAGACAAAGCTATGGACTGATTGTGACAATGGATCTACACCCTTTTTGGTGCCTTCCGACGATGACACTTGTCCAGGCAGTTCACAGAAAGGGCTGGAGTAATTCGAAGATGGTCACAGAAAACATTCAACATGGTCCTGTTTCAGGAAAGATAGAAACAAAAACGTCTTACTATGTCATGCTGAATTTTCCATGGTTTATTTTCACATACTGCTTCAGGAACCCCAAAACAAGCTATATCACTATTCTATTTCCTAAGTATAGCCAGTCTTGCTATAATGAGACACATGCAGTCAGAAAAATCACCATGCTATACAAAATGGCACAGTAAGACCCACAGGGTAATGGGCAAAATGGACTAGGGGACACAGTCCTCAAAAACTCCCTCTGTGAAGCTGGGCATGGTGGTGCACACCTGTAAACCCAGCCCTTGGGGAGCCGAGGCAGGAGGATTGCTGCATGTTCCAGGCCAGCCTGAGCTGCACTGTGAGTTCAAGACCAGTCTGAACTACATAGCAAGATCCTGTGTCAAGAAACCAAAACCAAAACCAAACACAAACAAAACATCCTCAGTGATACATATGAAAAAGCAACCTGCTAAACACAGTAGCACGGCTGTACACATGTTAAATTGCTAAGACACACATTAATGCTACAATAAATATGTCACTTAAAACACCTTGATGTTTGCTTGTGGAAGTGTGCATCAGAAGGGCTATAGCTCATGAGTTACTGTGAAGAGGTGAGAAGAGGGAGCTCATCAGCTGTGGTTGGCTGGGATTCCCAGCACATGCATGAGCCAGTACATGTTTGAGACATGTACATATGTGCAGTTTGTGTTGTTGTACAGGACCTGGTTCTACTTGGTGCAGTTTTCTGCATTCACTTTTTATTTCTTCTACAGACAACCGTGTATATACAGACATAAAATCTGCATTATGCCCAAATTCCTCCCTAATGTATGAATAGCGCTGGGACCAATTTGCATTTTCAAAGCAAGTGTTACAGCAGGGCTGACTATTTTATTTGCTAACGAAAGCCCAATGCACTCTTGACAATAAAGAAGGATAGATCATCACTGGTATCCCAGTTTATGACCCGATTGCCCACCAGTAGGTGTTTTTGAATCAAGCCTTTGCAAAATAAGAAGATGGGCAGTAGAAAATTGGTGGAAAATCTAAAGCAGCAACCAAAGGAATGATGAGCAATCCTCTCTTCCCCTTCCAAGAACCAGAGGTGTGTGGCTCAGCTGGTGATCTTACAGACAGACAGGGAGTTTAAACAGGAGCTCGGTCTATGAGGAGCTTCTCAGACACTTCTTCTCCAAAGTGGATATCTTTATTGGTGACAGCTGAACTCAAAGGAAATAAAACACTGAGTTGAGCATTTAGGTTTATTATGTGACAAAAGGACAAGGAACACACTGATGGATGAAAATAAAAATTATGTCTCGTGGAGAAAGTAGGCTGCAGAAGAAGCTGTAAAGTACAATTATGTTTATATAGAGTACACAAAGAATCAAACTGACAACAGATTTTGCTAAAATGGTCGAGAAAGGCAAGTAAATGATTGGAAGGATAAAGGGAACGACAAGGTTCCACTGGGGAGGCAGCGAGGGCTTTCGAAAGAATCTGCTCTTCTATTTCTTGAACTTGGTAGTGAGTACCTGGGGGATTGTGTTTATCAACATTCTTTTAATCATATAAATGCGTAATAGATTCTTTTCTCTATAAAACTATTTACTACAGTGTTTTTAGGATCAGGAACCAGTGGAGGTTTTATAATTGAATTTGGTTACTTTGACTCAACAGTAGCCAAGTTTTCTCCATTATTACAGCAGAGCGGGAAATCCTTAACTAAGGCTGCAGTTTGCAACCACTGAACCCTCTACCACTGAGCTACCCCCCCAGCCCAAGGTACATTTTTTAAGTTCTTCATCCTCCCAGGCATTTCCTTCCAAAACATTTTGATTACTTAGAATGAAAATTCCTTTGACAACATTTTAAAAATGTAAATTTAGGTAATTTTTTTTTCTGTAAGAAACGGCCATGTAATTTCTATAAATTACATTCCAAAGAAACACGTGGTTTCTTGGACTTTGGAGTTTAGAAAGAACTTGGTAAGGATATTTCTCTTTTATTTCTGTTGCTTCATCAGTAGAAATTGTTATCAGTTATATAATAAATCACCGTGTCTTGGGTGATGTTTCTGTTCCTTACAAAACAGGAGCCCTTAGACAAATATTTATCAAACAAAAGGAGTTCTGGTTTTAAGGGTAACTCCATGAGTCACAGATTTGCTGTAATACATCTTGTTGAAGCTCTGCTTGCCTCAAACTCTGTGAATTCAAATGAGAGCAAGTGATTGGATTTTGGCATCTACTGGGAATGAATTTGCCTTCTTTAGTTCCTAATTTGATCATGACAATTTTATAAAATCATTTTAGAGAATTACAAAATACCTATTACATTGTTCAATTCACCACATGTCATGGCTGGCAAAGGCTCAGGTAATTTAGATGCTTGTAATTTTCTAAATGGTATTACGCTTTTTAACTGTACCCTGGGGTCCAAATCCATATTAACTAACTGACAAAAAATTATGGATAATTTTATTCAAGGCAACACAAAAGGGCAGGATAGTGGCAAGCATAATAAAACATCCTTTAAATAAAGGGATCTGAGATCCCCAGAGCACAAGCTCAATTAAGCCAACTACCACTAGTTAAAGACTAGTTTAACCACTGCTAGTTCGTTTGCCGTGAGTTAAAGTCTAGCTTAAGAAACGCTATCTACCTATAGCTAGAAGACCTCATGTATGTTCTATAGGAAGGTGCTCAAGGAATTTGTTGGGGAAACACACGAACACACGTGCTAGTGTGCTTTCTCTTTCTCTCTCCCTTTCCCTCATCTCCCACTCCTCTGGAATTAAGAAACAGATCTCTGTTAATAATTCCTGAGATGAAAATGGTCCTGTCCTCAGCCGTTTAGAATTGGAGGATTAGTTTGCTTCAGCGCTGTCCCTTAAATATTGAGAAATTAGGAATGCCTGTACTGGTCTTTTCAGGAGTGGAGCACTTTAAAATCACCTGGGGATGCTGTAAAACTTCCTGCACCTTAGCTGTACTTCAGATAAATTACATCACATCTGTGTGTGGAGAGCCGGTTTTCCCTCAACTCTTTCGAATTCACCCAGTGATTCTGAGGAGCACGAAGGTTTAGAAGGATTCTAGCAGCTATTTGAAAAATTACTTACTTGGCAGATCAGGGCCCACAAAGAAGGATTTTGAAGTTAGGTAAATGACACTGATAAGAGATAGCACTGTCTTATTGTGTATTACACAACAAGAAAACAGAAATTGACTAGGAATTTCATTTTCTGACTCAGTATCTAATTAACTTATGATAGGGAACTTGTAAGTAGCTGGCTCAGCAGTAAATATTCACTCCATTTTAGCCTATTTGGGGAGAGACTGGAGGTAGAAAAGTTACTTAGCCATTGGTGATGCTTCTATTTAGAATAGTGGACTTCAATATGCAAAGTTAATCACTGAGATAAATATCCAGTTCAGTTCTAAATGTGCTAATCAAAGACTCAGGTGCAGCTGTGGGAAGAAAGTCATTACGTGGCACATACAAAATGAAGCAAGTTTAACAATGGAACAACTTGGTTCTCCTTGCAAAGCCTTTCCCATACAAGAGGATAGGAGTCAATGGAAGAGAAGGGGTCCTCGTTCTTTCAAGCATTTTTACATCTCCTTATATTGTCTTTTTTGTTTCTTTTTTTCCAGTACCGGGAATTGAACTCATGACCTTGTACTTGCCCAGCAGGTGCTGTGCCGCTGAGCTAAATCCCCAGCCCCAAAAGAAACCTTTTTTTTTTTAGTGGTCCCGGGGAATTGAACTTACGACCTTGCACTTGCCAGGCAGGTGCTTATGCCACTGAGCTATATCTTCAGCCCATAAATTATTTTAGTCTATGTTTTGTTGGTTTTTTTTTTTTCCAGTACCAGGAATCGAACTCACAACCTTGTGCTTGCCAGGCAGGCACTGTGCCGCTGAGCTAAACCCCCAGCCCCTATTTTTATATCTCCTAAAGGTGCTTTACTAGAATTTTGAATAACTTCATTTTCTAACACAGTGTTAAGAACATTAAAATTAAAAAAGGAAAGATTTGAATGGTAAAAATGGCATGCTGTCCTGAGCAGTGTGATCAAATCTCTTGTCATCCTGTTTTGTTCTGCCTGGAACATGAATCATCCCTTTATCCATCATATCCACAAAGTAAATGCTACCAACTCATTTAACACTTAATGATTATCTTGGCTATAATCAAGAGGTGGACTCTCACAGCATTACGGTACTTGTGTTCAAGTCATTCTTGTTTTACTCAGTAATGGGTTCCCAGAGCACAAGAGTAGCGATGTCAGCAATTGGCCTATGTGAACAAGAAGCTGTAAAATGGTTCTTTTAAGTGAAAAGGTGAAAGTTGTTAATTTATGGGATAAAAAAACGGGTGCTGAGCTTGCTAAGATCTATGGTAAGAATAAATCCTCTCTTTGTGAAGTTGTGAGAAAGGGAAAAGACTTTTCGTGTTCATTTTGCTGCCCCACCTCAAACTGCAAATATTATGGCTACAGTATGTGGTAACTGTTTAGCTGCAATGGCAAAGGCATTAAATTTATCAGTAGACGACATGAACAGAAAATGTGTTCCAATTGTTATAATTGTTCTACTTTATTATTAGCTAATGTTATTGACTTCTTACTGTGCCTGCTTTATAAATTAAACGCCATCATGGGTATGTATACATAAGAAAAACCAAAATATATATTAGGTTTAGTAGTGAGTTTTCAGGCATCAGCTGCAGTCTTGGAATGTATCTGTTGATATATTATTAAATTATAGACAAATCAAAAACTAAAATAGTCTCCTTTCTTCCTGATTTAGTGACTCTAGCTCAAAGGCACAGCTCTTTTGCTAAGCATGGATTGAAGCAATTCATTCCCCTTACTCTCCATCCTCTTTCAGATAAAGACCATTTTGAGCGGCTTTATCATCAGGGGCTACTTGGGAAAGTGGACCCTGCTAATCAAGACGGTCACCCTGGTGCTGGTTGTGTCCTCTGGCCTGAGCCTTGGAAAAGAAGGGCCTCTGGTGCACGTGGCTTGTTGCTGTGGCAACTTCTTCAGCAGCCTTTTCTCCAAGTATAGCAAGAATGAGGGCAAGAGGCGTGAGGTGAGCTGGCTGAGCTTCTACCTGCAGGGGAGGCTTTTCCTCAGAGCTCTTCCTCTGTTGCCTGCATGGGTTTGCCTTCAGGGATGGCCCAAGAGTCGACTTAGAACCCTTTGTCTTATAGGTGCTTTCAGCTGCAGCTGCTGCTGGGGTCTCCGTGGCATTTGGTGCTCCCATCGGGGGTGTGCTCTTCAGTCTAGAGGAGGTGAGAAGGGGGCAATAAGGCGTATGTGGATGGCTGGTAGGCTCATGTGGATGAGCCTGTATTTCCTACCCTCAGAAGATTAGATCCATACAAGTATTGAAAAAGGTTTCTGCAGTTAATTAAAGACCCACAATTTCCACTGTTAAATTTATTTTCAAATGCTGTTTTAAAAGTTGCCAATATAACTCTGTGGAAAGATTTACAATATTCTCTCTTCCTCATAACCAACATAGGTTCTGCCTTGGTGTTGGAACCAGAATGGATCATCTCAGAGGTTGGCAAGTGTTTTCTGAAAAGGACTTGTGGGCCACACAGTTTGTGCTATGGCCAACCAACTTTGCGATTGTTAACAGAAAAGCAACCAGATGATGTATCCATGAACGGGCATGGCTCTATGCCCCACAAACTTTCCCCACAAAATTTGGAATTTATAAAATTCTCACATGTAATGAAAACTGTTCTTCTTTTGAATGAATATTTCATGTCACAAGTTATTTCTTTTCCAACCATTTCAAAATGCAAAAACAATTCTTAATTCATGTACAATACAAATGGTATATTCCTTGGACCAGAGGTTTCCATTCTTGATCCATTCTGTTTACTATAGAATCAAATCCAAAGTTTATTTGCTTTTAGGAGGACCTTTGTGCCACAAACAGCATTATAAATACATGTAGTATTTAACTCTCTGTCTTTCTCTCTCTCTTTTGGGGGTAGTGTGGATGGAACCCAGGGCCTTGAACATGTCAAACACACGCTCTACCCCTGAGTTACTCTCCAGCCTTTTATTAATCTTAAAAGTGTAGCACAAACCCACCTTCATGGGAATCCATGGCACTTTTTGTCATAGTTAGATTCCTTTAAATATCTTTGCTGGTGCATTTTGGACACAGTTAAAACTAGGTGAAGTGAATGTGGTCCACCTTTGGTCTTAGCCTGTGTCTTTCATGCCAAATACCGCAGGCAATGGTAATGACAATTTTGAAGATCAGGGCCAGGGCCAGCTGCCACATGACTAAGACCAAAGGCGGATCACACTCAGTTCACCTAGTTTAAATTGTGTCCAAAATGCACCAACAAAGATATCTGTTGGGACTGCTGACCCAAGGGGGAGAAGGCTCTGAGCTGCTGTTTCTCTGGCCAGCCTATGATTGTCTACTTCTTTGTCCCAGGTCAGTTACTACTTTCCCTTGAAGACCTTGTGGAGGTCATTTTTTGCAGCCCTGGTGGCAGCCTTCACACTGCGATCCATCAATCCTTTTGGGAATAGCCGTCTGGTTCTCTTTTATGTGGAATATCACACGCCCTGGTACATGGCTGAACTCTTCCCTTTCATCCTGCTTGGAGTCTTTGGGGGTTTGTGGGGAACCCTCTTCACTCGATGCAACATCGCCTGGTGCAGGAGGCGCAAAACCACCAGGCTGGGAAAGTACCCGGTGTTGGAGGTCATTGTGGTGACAGCCATCACTGCCATCATCGCCTACCCCAACCCTTACACACGCCAGAGCACCAGCGAACTCATTTCTGAGCTGTTCAATGACTGTGGGGCCCTTGAGTCTTCCCAGCTCTGTGACTACATCAACGACCCCAATATGACCCGGCCTGTGGATGACATTCCAGACCGGCCGGCTGGGGTCGGGGTTTACACTGCCATGTGGCAGCTGGCCCTGGCCCTGATCTTCAAAATTGTCATTACCATATTTACCTTTGGCATGAAGGTAAGTGAAGGGGAAGGAAGATGGGGGCGTATGTCTTTCTGGGGAGCACCCTATTCTCCAAAATAAAATTACACGAGGGGGAGGGAACTGACCTTTCTTGAATGATTTATTTCCTTGACATTCTTTTAATCAACAGGAAACAAGCCTCTTAATAAATACAAACTTGTGGAGTGGAAATTTTAATCCTGTTTTACAATCGAGAAGGTTAAGACTCAGGTTGTTGGTGACTTGGTCAGACCTGCAGTTTATGGGAAACAGAGCTAGGTATCAAACCCACCTCAAGCCCTCCCAGACCAGGTGGTAAGCACAGATTTACCTGCTGGCTGGGTGAGTGCAAGAGGTGGAAGAAGTCCAGGGTTGGCCTTGTTTGGATTAGTAAACATGCTTTCCTCACCCACTGTATCCTGGGACTAAGTTTGAGGGACTCAAGCTTAATATAGACCTCTACCTTGGAAGAACCCACAGGTCCGGGAGAGATGCAGGTAAACGTGGTTTGGAGACTGTGTGGTCTCCACACTGCATGTCCATCTCGTGCACCATGCCAGTGCCGCGAGACCATAAAGTGAGCACGTCCTTGGCCTGGATAAGTCTGGGGCCGTGGCAGGGGGACGTGGCGTACATCCTCATACTTTCTCCTCATCCCCCACGTCTGTACTGGGGATTGAACCCAGGGCTTTTGCATGCTAGGCAAGCATTCTGTAACTGAGGCACACCCCAAGCCCTGCACACCACCTCTGGCTGGTCAGGTCCTCTCAAACTGTGTATGATCTCACATGCTTCCATTATCATTACTAAAATCAGAGAAGACAGCTTCTTTCATTCTTTTAAAAAATGCTCTGCTGAATCAGTTCAGACATACTTCAGAAGCGCTTCCCAAAGAGCTTTTTTTTTGGTGTTGCCTGACACTGAATTATTAGTGCTTTTAATAGTTTTTAAATTGGGGTAAAATTTACACAACATAAAATTAATCACCTGAAAGTGTACACTTTATTGGCATTAAGTGCATTAATGATGTGGTACAGCTGACACCTCTGTCTGCTTTTAGAACATCTTCATTCCCCCCAGAGGAGACCCCATCTACATTAGTAGTTGTTCTCCTTTCTCCCCTCTTCCTAGCTGCTAGCAGTCACTCACTTGCTGTGTGTCTCTGTGGATTCACCTGTTGTGGACCTTCCATATAAATGGGATGGACGTCTTTCACAGAGCATGGTGTTTTCAAGGTTCACCCATGTGGTAGCAGTGTTTTATTCCTTTTCTTGGCTGGATAGTATTGCATCCGATGATGGCTACTCCACGTTTTCATCCACTCGTCCTTTGATGGACATTTGGGTTGTTTCTATATTGGTTGTAGTTTTAGAAAACATTTTATTAAAATATATTATTTATATAGAGATATGCACAGGTAAATTTTCACAAAACGTGTGTTTGTATAACCAATACCCAGGACCAGAAGCAGAGCATCATCTAGTCCCCAGAGCCCCCTTTTCTGTTCCATAAGTATTCCTTTCTTCGTGATATTTCTATTCTCTGCCTCTCTCTCTGCCTCTCTCTCTTTCCCTCCCCGTCCCCTCTCCCCCCCTTTCTCTCCACTAGGGGGGATTAAACCCAGGACTTTCACATTAAGCTCTATTCCCAGCCCTTTTTTGTTTTTAGTTTTGAGACAAGATCTTGCTAAGATACCCAGGTTGGGCTTAAAATTGTGTTTCTCCTGCCTCGGCCCCCCCAGAGTGCTGGAATTGCAGGCATGCACCACCCTCCTGGCCTGAATTCTATCTTTTTAAAAAGTCTAAGAGATGGTGGGCTTGAGTGCATAGTAGTCAAACACAAACTCGAATTTGTGTCTTAAGAACAAGGATGGGTGGACTTGGTCTAACAGCTGACTGGCTTGGATCAATTAGCTCCTAGCAAAGGGATTTCATTTTGTGTCCAAGGAAGATGCTATAGTAGTAGCATATTTTGTTACTTTTTGAGAAAAGTCTACTTGGAAGTAACAGAGATTCAGTGACTGGAATAAGGGGATGCTCAGAAAAGAACAAATTGCCAAGGAGTGCTCTAAACTCTAGAAATTGCACGTGTGGATTGAAACTTAATGTCAGTTGTGTTAAGGATCTGCTTATATGCTCAGATTGCTGACCACAGGGGCAGACAGAAAGGCAGCTGCTGCTCAGGATCCATGGTTATGTGAAGTCGCCCTGAACATGGAGCCAGGCATATTCTGCAGCCCGTTCTATAGCAGGCGTGTTCTGTATGACCATCAGAGAAACCAAATGCACAGTATTCTCACTCAACTCAATAGAAAACATGCTACCACCAACACTTCTTCAGTTATGTAGTCTATAACCTGGCTGGAAATATCAGAATATGTCCTTCATTAGGAAGAGGGACCCTTCCTTCTGCTCTTTCGGACAGCCACCATTCAAGGGGACAGTGAGCCCTTGAAAGGCTCTCTGGAAGATCAGGGGAAGCCGTAATGATGCATTCAGCTTTTCCCCCCTTTTTACCTGGGAACAGTAGCAGGCCCTTCTTTTCCATTTTCATGCTGTGGCTTGACATTTAATTTTCAAAGCCAGTCTGAGCGACACAGCAAGGAGAGCAAGAAAGTGGTGAGAGTCTCTGGTGACAGATGCACACTTTGAATGTTATTTGCAGTGGGGCTTATCATTCTTTAATCCACAGCAGGCACACTAGCCAGCTTTTGAAGGAGAGGAAATCAAAGTGTCGAACTGTATTCTGTCCAAGTCGCAGTAGACTCTACTGACTAAGCAGGTCATATCACTTGTCCCACCTTTTCCCAGCTGAGCTGTTTTGAAGAGTAGGCTTCAGTCAAATGCAAGCTTGTGGAAGGGGACCTTATTTCCTGGGGTTTGGGAGGTCAGAACTTGGCCTCCTTCCCTCAGGCTACTTTTCTCTCTGTGTTCTCTTGAGATTCCTTCAGGGCTTTTCATCCCCAGCATGGCTGTGGGAGCCATGGCGGGCAGGATGGTGGGGATTGGTGTGGAGCAGCTGGCTTACCACCACCACGACTGGATCATCTTCAGGAACTGGTGCAGACCTGGGGCAGACTGCGTTACCCCAGGACTTTATGCAATGGTGGGAGCCGCAGCCTGCCTAGGTATGTTCACAGGTGTGGGCGTGGAGGAGGAGGGGTGCTGATCCAGCTTAGGACTGGCAAGAATGAAGACATGGGTTTGCTCATTGGCATTACTCAGCATAAGCTAGGTTGTGCTGTCGTAACAAGTAAACTCCGCCATGTCAATGGCTTAGCGTGTACCAAGCTTTTGTTCTGTTCACTAGAAAGAGTAGAATAGAAAAGAAGAAACATGAGTTAGCAGAAGATTTTTCCACGTAGCCGTTCAGAGGCCCAGTCTGATTGAATCTAATCTCCACCATCTAACAGCTGTATACACTTGTTCTCAATCAGGAATGATTTTGCATCCTTGGGACCCCTGGAAAGTTTAGAGGGACACTTTTGCTCATTCCACTTGTATGTAGTGAGTAGGGCTCCAGGGATGATGCTAAACTTGCTGTAGTGTACAAGAGAGTCATGACAACAAAATGACCCAGTCCCAAATGTCTCTAGTACTGAAGTTAAGAAACTGGATTAGCCTTTTTAGAAGATTAGAAATCAGTTTGGATTCTCTTTCTGGATACTAAGGAATCCAAAGATGTGTCCCTCTCCAACCTAATCCCTCAAAATCTCTACAATTTTCCAACTTATGTTTTGCTTCCTCAGGCAGAAGCCTGTATAGGGTATGTAGGCGCCACTCACAAAAAAGCCAGGAATGTGGCCTGGGTTAATCAGTAACCCAGGGTCCCTCATAGGACAAGAGCCCCTAATCAGATGACTTACAGCTCTTTGATGCAAGGCTGAGTTTCATAGAGCTGGTGTCTCTTCAAGGATTTCCAGCCTGGTCAGCAGCTCATAGGAACCTCTCATTGGAGCAACATGAGGAGAATCAAGAGAGTGTGGCTTGAGTTGCATTTGCAGCCCGTGAGCCTCTCCACAAATCATGCCCTCATGAGGGTACAGGGTTAAGCTTTAGAATCTCACTTTTCCTTTGCAGGTGGAGTGACCAGGATGACGGTATCACTGGTGGTCATCATGTTTGAATTAACGGGTGGTCTGGAGTACATTGTGCCCTTGATGGCGGCGGCTGTCACCAGCAAGTGGGTGGCTGATGCCTTTGGGAAAGAGGGCATCTACGAGGCTCACATTCACCTGAATGGGTACCCGTTTCTCGATGTGAAGGACGAGTTCACCCATCGCACGCTGGCCACGGATGTGATGCGGCCCAGGCGGGGAGAGCCTCCGCTGTCCGTGCTCACCCAGGACAGCATGACCGTGGAGGATGTGGAGACGCTCATCAAGGAGACAGACTACAATGGCTTCCCTGTGGTGGTCTCCAGAGACTCTGAGCGCCTCATTGGGTTCGCTCAGAGGAGGGAGCTTATCCTTGCAATAAGTAAGGAGAGGGAGGTTCACATTTTTCTAAGCAGTCTTTGTACCCCTAGAATTATCAAAGGGGTTCAAAAGAATGTTGAGGAAGGCAGGTGCTCTCAAGCTTCAGTGCAGATCTGTCACCTGGGATCTGCTTAAAATGTAGATTTGATTGAGTAGGCCTGGGTGGGCCGAGTCTCTGAACCCCCCCACCCCCCAGCTTCACATTCATGCCAGTGCTGCCAATTCCCAAGGTTTCAACCCAAATCCTGGGATAGATGTTCCTGGCCAGAGAGTGACTGCTATGTGTGCAGACCAGGGGGCAAGCTGCTGCTGCTACTGCTGCTGTTTTGGGGGATTATTGGTTGAAACTGAGAAATAAGAGGTGGTGTGAGATCCCAAAGTGGCCCATGCCGAGCTGGCCTCAGATCTGTGCTTTCGGGCAGGTTAGCCACCTCACTTAGGTGGTAAGGTCTTTCCTTGTACCTTTGCTAGCCACTGTACATGTTTTTGCTGCACTGAATGAATGATGTCCCATTCCACCAGACAGAGGCCCACCTGGGTTAATGAACAGCATTGATGGATGTCAGTTCTGTGTGATCATTTTCTCCTTACATTTGAACTGAAGTCAGCACCCCCGGGGGAGTGGGACAGGCTGTTCAATTGGGGTATGAGAGAGAGGGATGATTCCCAGGTGGGGCATCCTAAAGACAGGTAGCCCAGAGAAACTGACGTGCTGGATCCTTCAAAAGGGGAGTAGGAGGTAGGAGGATTGCAAAGATAGAGGCAGAGGGGCTGGGAATTTAGCTCAGTGGCAAAGCGCCTGCCCGGCAAGCGCAAGGTCGTGAGTTCGGTTCCCGGTACCGGAGAAAAACCAAAAAAA